GTGAGAGTATATATATATATATATATATATATATATATAAGGCTTCCGAACGATGCTTATAGGTGAATAGTAACAGTGATTTCACCTACCATCTGTGCACTGTCAATTTAAATTGAAATAAATGAAAGGTCGTGATTGCTTCACAAAGCTTCAAACCTAACATATTTTCAGTCAGTACTCTCCCTCTCGCGTGAAGCTCATCAAACTTCTCTTTCTTTTGCTCGCTTTCTTCTCTGCTCTGCAAAAGGTCGCCTCGCTCTCTCGCTCGCCCTCTCTTTTGCACTGCAAAGCTCATATCTCTATTGCTCGTTCTCTCCTCTTTGTGCTCTCCTCACAGTCGCCCTCTCGTATCTCAACAAAGCTTTTGGCCACCCATACCAGGCAATGTTCTTCTGCATCAATAGAGGTCATTCACTCGATTGATGTTGAAGAACTTTGCTTGTTGTGGATGACGTACGTTGCTGCCGGAAGCTTTATTGAGATAAGAGAGGGCGACTATGAGGAGAGCGCAAAGGGGACAGCGAGCGATAGAGGTGTGAGCTTTGCAGAGCAAAAGAGAGGGCGAGCGAGAAAGAGGCAACCTTTTGCATAGCAGAGGAGAGGGTGAGCGAAAGAAAGAGAAGTTCGCTGAGATTTTATACTCTCTCTCTAATTTTAGGTCCCATCAAATATAATTACAGCACTTTAAGCGCCGTAAAACATATTAAGTTCATCAAAGGACTTTAATACAAATACTATTTTGCTAAAAAAAATACTAAAAATGAGAAAAAAAAGTATGTATGAAATTTTAAAAGCGTACAATTTGATTCTAATTTGTCGAAAATTAAAATATATTTCTAATAATTTCCCAACTTTTTATTACCTTTGCATTATGCCGTAAAAAATTAACTAAATTAACTAAAAGTCACATCATCTTCACTTATTAAGCTCTTCAGGTGGATAAAGGCCACGCTGCTTATTGGTGTTATTCAACATTTCCCCTCAATTTATTGACAATATTTAAAAAATTAACCACCACAACAAACCTGTATGACATGTTTTCATCGGCAGTCATTTATTTCCCATGTTTACAAACCAATCAACCAAAAGAAATACAAGGAGAAAATAAAAAAAGGCAAAAAAAAAAAAAAAAATTTTATTTACCAAAATTTCAATTTGAACAAGGATTTCCCATATTGTATGAACCATAATCGGTTTCATGTCTTTCTCAAATGCTCGTTTCATTTATATAACTAAAAGTAAAAGCTAAATGGTAGTCAAATTTCCCAATTTCCTTTCATTACTTCCTCGTTCTCGCGTATGAATTTAAAGGGTGGCCACATGGTGCTATATATAACCATGCACCACCCAACCACAATTGCGCGTGCACGCGCCCACATACATACACAGATACGAAGTTGGGGTCAAAACAAAATTAAGTATTTCCTATGTTATAGTAGTTCATAACAAGGCTACTAATGCTTTTAGTATATCATAAGATCTTCCCACCAAGATTAAGTAATTCCCATAAGATCTTAAAAGCTAATCAAAAGGTTTGTAATATTAACAGAATATGCCACTCAGACTTTCCTCATCAGAAGAAATAATCTCTGATCCAGCTCAAAATTAGCCGCATTAGAAGGATCACACCTCAATAACATTAGAAGCCCACCAAATGATGCATTGATCTCTCTGCACAAAAGCTAAACATAATGAGCCTTCAGTCGAAAGGAGATCTAATTGCTATATATCGACTATACCATCGCAAAAATAAATATCAAAACCATTGCTTCATAGTATAAAAGTGGCAGAGATCATTTGGAAGCAAGCTCAAATCATCAAGGTTTTGTTGACCAGCTCAACATGCTCATCTGACCGTTTAATGCACTCCCTATGGAGAAAATGAAATGACTTTATGATAAAGCACGGTGTATATATTTTTAAAAAAAATTTATTTCTACACCGGCACGATCATTTACAATGTCCAATTGCAATTAAACCACTCTTAAGCAAAACAAAAAAAAATCGGTTCTCAATTGCTACCTCTTCAAATACAATTCTTTTATTCAACAAACAAAACTAGACTTTTATTGCTTTATAGGAAAAGAAGATAAAAAGTAGATAAATATTTAAAAAGGTAAAATTGCCAGAGATTACCTCAACCGGGCTTAGTATACCCCACGCGGAGTCTCCTTCTTCTAATGGTGCTTGGGATATGTGATCGGTATGTTGATTTCCCTACTATGGCAAAAATTCACTTAATGATTTAATCTTGATCAAACCTCTTAGCTTGATTTTAGAGGGATGAGAGATGTATATCAAGAGAGAGGGAGAGATCTACTAGCAAAGAGTTCACCCTTTTGCCACCCATAAAAAAGTACCACCTAGGCTTAGGCGTACTACCCAAAGAGAATTTCCCAAAGAGAAAAAGACACCCAATACAACATAGAAAGATAGAGATAAAATTAGGGTGTGCCTTAAAATTGGGGCGTGCCTCTCTTTCGTAATCTTTCTAGAGAGAGCTAAATTTTGGAGTAGGGAGAGAGAAAATACATACGTAACTTGTTAAAGGGGGAGACTTTCTTTTATAGATTTTCTATGCCATAGATTTTGCCTCAATCCATAGGGTCAAATCTCAACCGTCGATTTAGGGAGACTTGTGGGGTGAGAGATTTGAGCCTTCCATCTCTTTGATCCACCATCAAGATTCAAAGATAAGAGCTAGAGCCTTATCCTCCATTTCCTAAATCTATTCCCATCAAATAAAGAAAGCTTCTATTTTAATATATCAAATATTTAATTATTGAATCAAGATTGTCATTAAATAAAAAAACTTATATTTTAATATATCCAATAATTAATAATTAGATCAATCAATATTGATTAAAAAATTTAGTAAATATATAAAATATTCAACTTTATTATGGATATATCCAAAAGATAAACCAATAAGAGATAAACATTCTTTCCAAGAAGAATACGTGAATGGGTAAGGCGTGCCACTCGTGTGGGCCCACCTAATCCACATGTATTTACAATTTATGCCCCATATTTTATGGAGGTCCCATATATTTTTAGAAAATATTTTATTTCATATTTAAATTTTTTTTTAAATCTTATATTTTATTTAAAATATTGAAAATTTAATTTCTCTTAATTTATAAATCCAAATGACAAAAATAAAATACCTTAAGATTCACAAAAATTCAAATAAACATTCTAAAAATCAGATAGCATACAATTAATTAAAATTAATTATTTTTTATGGGAATCAGATTCGTTAGATCTAGAAAATTATCAATACATAGGAGCACTCCATCTTCAACTGCGAATCATTATCCGCTTAGCTTTTTCAAATTGACCCAACAATTCCCATGACCCACAGTCCACTGCAGGGGTTCATGATTGGACCACCAAAGTCAACCAATAGACTAGGAGACACAATCCCAGTTTATGGATTTCAGGTTCTCCCCTAAAGGCAAAAATCATGATCCTCCAGACCATGATGCAATCATGACTCTATGGTGCATGGGGTAATCTCTTGCACATGTACACGCTTCATCCGCATTGGCGAATCTCAAAACGACTATCTATGTACATGTCGCGTGATGATATAACTATGAGGTTTTAACCCTGTCTCTAAAGGCTATTCATCACACGCAAGGGCCACACAGTCCTTTGGCTCTTATCTGAGCATACTCCGACCTCATCAAGGGATAACCTACTAAACCCTTCTTGGTAGATCCCTATGCCCAAGTATCTTGGGTTTTTCCAAACTTCGGCTGGCCTAGCTCGTCGAGCCGAATCCGAGTATCAGCAAATAACATTTGCCTAGTATGGTCCACAAAAGGATCACACTCCCACTGAGTTTATGTTTCATTTATTAAATATATTTTACAGTATCTCATAAAGCCTTTAAAGGCCACATAAGCCCAACAATAAAAACTATCTTCAACTACGATTTAGTGACCATATTGAATTCACTGAGCAGCCCACAAACAGACACACACATGCGCATGCACACACGCGTATGCGCATGCACACACACGCATAGAGCAAGAGAGAGAGAACGCAGAGAGCAAGAGAGAGAGAGAGCGCGAGAGAGTTAAAGCCGAAAACATACATAATAGTTAGAAAAGAACTAGTAGTTCATAATGTTCAGTACTTGCCAGCAAATACCCAACAAATTAAGATGTTTTACGCTGCTCAGGAACATAAAGTACAGTATCGAGTTTATTTCAACGTAATGACATTTCTTAGTGAAGAACTAGTAACTACAACCATCAACCCATCTACTAAAATGAAAAGTACTTAATAGTACGAGAAACAAAATAAAGGAATGTCCAAAATATTAAGTTGGTCAATTCCCAAGTACACTAAGGAGATGACCAAGATATCCAAAGGAGAAAAAAATACATAAATAAATACATATGACTTGGAAGCAGTGTTCGCAAAATCGAACGGGAAAGGTTAACATGGGCCCGGAAGCGATTTAACCGGCCTAATTGGTAAATCGGCCGATTCAACCACTCTAACCGGGCCAGTATGGAAAGATTAAAAAAATGTTAAAAAATAAAAAAGACAAAAAAATCTACTAAAACATGAAAAACATATAAATAATGTGATTAAAACAAAACACACTCAAATGAAGTTGAAAATTAATGAAAAAATAGATTGTAATGAGTCGATTTGTGCCTAGGGGTATTTTTAAAATATTATGAAAAGATAGGAAACTATAAAAGTGAGTATCAATGACCAAAATAGTGATAAAAAAATCGACTTGACCAACTTTTTTTTTAAAGAAAATGATCTTCCTTTTTTTAAAAAATGATATTTTTATCTTTTTTTTTAAAAGAAAAAGATCTTTTTTTTTAAAAAAAAGAACTTTTTTTTCTTAAAAGAAAATGAAGAAAAAATTATGTTATATATAATATAAACGTTTATTTTTATCAACTAAGTAGTAAATGGTGATCAAGTAATAAATGGCATATGGTTTTTTAACCAATTCATGGTTTTTTAAAAGAAAAAGCACATATGGTTTTTGAACCAATTAACCAATTCATGGTTTTTAAAAAGAAAAAGCACATATAGTTTTTGAATCCAATGGTCAAAGTTAACCAATATGCCATTCCAACGTATTTGATATAAATATGAAGTATTAATATATTAAAGTTTAAAATACTGGGTGACCACCAAAACCGACTAAAACCGAAACCGGTAGCTGGCTGGTTCCAATCTAACCGGCCATTTAGCTGTTAGATTAGCTAGTTTTGCGAACACTACTTGGAAGTACCCTTTTGCCGCATTATTTTATAAAATAGATAAGAGGTGTTTTAAAAAGGGAAAATATCCAAAATGTGAGTTGTGTTATGTTATGAAGAACTATCAACAATACCCTCATAAATTGAAATAACATTGTCTCCCCCCATTATTGACTTCCGCTAAATGACTGAAATCAACAAAAGCAGACTTTAGAGGCCTTTGCATTTTTGCAGATGAATTGATGCTGTGAATGTTTAGAAGGAAAAATATCACATCTCTTATGCAGTGTGTGTATTTATATCACATATGCGTGGTTTTTGTTTTTTTTGTTTTACTTTTATCACATTTATGCATGTTGAGATCACTATTATCACAAAACAACACAGAGAGACTCCAAAAACATACTTACCTTGAGATTGACGGCGACAATTTTTACTCATGGATATAAGCTAAGGCCCCTTGAATTTTTGTGGCCTTGATAGCCTACATATCAAATATCCTTCAGAATGATTCATAGGTAATTCCATTCTAATATAATGAGTTTCTCATTTTTGTCTGTTGGCCAAGTATAGGTGTGGGCGTGCCGACGAGCACACCATGGCCAGGTGGTTCGTTAATATCAAGTGAGGGGACCATAAATTGAGTTCCACATTATAGTAAACATACTGGGTAGCATCATCCAAAACTCAACTTGGAATCTCAGCAAAGCTCGAACGGATTTCTGAGTTCAAAAATATTGTGCACTAGTTTCTAAAGATCAAATTGCACAATTCATTCATCAGTGATGATTATTATAGTAAAATACTATAATGCTTCTGAGCTGTCCAAAAGATCAATATGAACAATTAATAGTACTGATGCCTCAGAAATTCAATAGCATAGAGAAAAGCTCTGACATCAAGGAAAATCTTAACAATGTTTTATTTTGATTCTTCACCAAGGCATTTAAATACATTCACTTCGTATAACTTCACAGCACAAAATAAGGAGAAAAACAAGTGAAAGGGAATTCGAACACAAAATGCTCACTCAGTAAAGACTAAATCGTTAAAACAAATATACAAACCAGTGTTTCAAAAGCACTAGGCGGGCCAGTGGAAATATTTTTTTTGAGTTTTCTCTCTCTAGGTTTTAGGTTTCAAATGAACCTAAAATTCACAATTTTGACTCTTAAGTATTAAAAAATGACCAAAAAATACTTTCAAGGAGCTGCAGTTCCGCCACCCCTAGGTGGGGGACAAGCCCTGGGCTCCCTAGGCGGGGTGAGGCGGGGCCCAAGGAAATCCGCCTAGGCAGCCGTGCCAAGCACTGGGCGGTCCGCTTTTTGAAGCAATGATACAAACCATATATCAACCACCCCATTCTTACCTTCACATATCCTACTTATTGTACATAGTAAATATAACAACACGGAGTTGAATCACGTAAAATCAACTCAAAATTAACATGAATTGCCAACAAAACAGCACGCAGGCTAAAGATTATCCAAAGAACAGAAAATTCCAGACTCCTAGACCACTCAACATATTTCGAACTTTAAATGTAACAATCTAGTGTAAAAATCTTAGCTTTAATATAAAAAAATTAAGAAGACTTACACTTTGACGTTGGTTCCAGAATCTTCGGAGATCTTATACAGCTTTCCATGCATAACATACTCAAATTTGTCTGCAAGTGATTTACGCCCTCCCTGGATAGCATAAACATCACACACTATTTTACGATCTAGCCCTAGGACAATATCACAAGTAAATCTACTGGTCTGTGAAATCATAATTTGAGAAATATAGCATTTTTTAAATTTAAGATAGATAAACATAATTTAGAGAACCAAGTAACTTTATGGCTAAGATAATAATTTGTCAAGGTGCAGCTAGAAAGTGTTCATCTAGCACATATGTAGAAGAAAAAAGGTTCCTTGTGCATTAACACCAAGGACACCACATAAAAAGGATCTATGGAATGCACTACCATTGTCTCAAAATGTTTGTCTATAATCCAATCCAACAGTACTGTATACCTTTGAATGCATCAGATACAAATTAGACAATATTCAACGAATTATTGAATCATCTTAAAAAAATAAACATAAAGGAAGACAAATAGTGTGAAGATGAAATGCCTACATGGTTGAGATCTTATGAAAAGCATGGTACCTCTGGCGACGAGATGTAGACAGCAATGAAATAGTGTCCCAAGAGATAAAAAATATGCAACCTACTCATAGTTTAAAAAAGCGCTAGGCGGGTCCAGGCCGCCCAGTGTTTAGGCGTGTGCTCAAGTGGGTGCCTAGAACCTGGGCAGCCTAGTCGAATCCAAAAAGGATGCCCAGTCAAAGATGCTTCTAAGGACTCAAAATCTTCTAAAAAAAACCCAATAGATTTATAAAACATCAAAAATTAAATCTAATATCAATGGGAGATATTTGATCAATTTTTGTCAACTTTGAACAAAAAAAAAATGTCGCTTTTGGGCAGGGCGAGGCGGCTGCTTAGGCAGGTTCCATACCGCCTAGGCGGGGCGCCGGCCCTGGGTTGGGAGCTGGGCTGCCGCCTAGGTGGTACAGACCACCCAGATTGGCCACCTAGGCCTGGGCAATGCCTCCAGGCCTTCTGAACTGCCTAGGCGACTGCCTAGGGGGTCCACTTTTTGAATCACTGAACCTACTATAGAACCAACTACAATGTGGCCCAAAGGGATTGGCATTACAAGAGCATCATGCACTGACGAACAATGACTTGAAGTGCACAACTTGGATTTTTTATTTTTTTGCCTAATTTTATTTTGTTGTTCTTGCTTTAGCCTTGCTAGCATTTAACATAGAGTCCTCTCTTCACGGTGCTTTCTCATTGATCAATATATTCTTTTGAAGAAAATGTTAACAATCTATTGTATCAAAAAGCGCTAGGTGGGTCCTAGGCAGCTTGGGGGTTAGGCCGCCTAATGCCTAGGTGGGGGCCCAGAACCTGGGCGGCTGCCTAGTTGAACATAGAAAAAAAAAGTAAAAAGTAAAACCATACCAAATTACCAATATACTATATTCTAAGTTGAAAAAAAAGAAAAAAAAGATACACGTTAAGAAGAGAATTTTGATAATCCATATTGTTAAAACAATAGACTGTAAAACCATACAAGTATAGGTACGATATAAAAGTCAACACTCAACACAACAGAAATATACAAAAACTCTGAAAACATATAATATAACAAAAGTTAACACTCATCACTTAACACAACAGTCAACATAATCAACACTCAACACACAGCAGTCAGCACCAAGAGGCAAGAGTCTTCAATCGTCATCGTCATTATCATCATCAGAACGAATATCAGTAGGGCAAGCCTCATCGTATGCATCAAAGTTGAGGCCATGATCATCAGAGTCATCTCCCTCTTCAATATATCGCTCGTCCTCCTCTGTTTCTTCTGAATCTACCTCTTCCTCCTCCTTTTCTTCTACCTTCCTCTTACTAGTCTATACAGATGAGGCCCTAGGAGTCTTAGCTGCTCTACCCTTTTATCTGTGCTTCTTTGAACTTAAATATTATATAATTTCCTCCTTGGTAGCCTCAGGAATATTTTTACACGGGGCAACATCCCCTTTAATACCGGCACGGTGTTTTTTAAACCGATAAATGCCCCCATTAGTATCCTTCCACAATAATTACATTTAATACAATTTTTATCACTTGGATTAGGGTTATAACCATACTTCCAACTCGGATCACCACTCCGTCTAGAACCTGACAAAGATACTTCCATAGAACAAGGCTTATTTTCATCTTTTTCTGGTTCTTCAAATTTCAGAAGATGTCTAATCTCATCCCGAGCTGCTTCAAAAACCTTTGTACAAGAAGCAACATTACCTCTAACACCAGCAAGGTGTTTTTTAAATCAGCTAATACCCCCATTGGTATCTTTTTTACAAAAATTACACCTTATACAATTTTTATTATTTGGTTTTGGGTTGTACCCATACTGCCAACCCGGATCACTTTTTTTAGGAGTAGGAGAAATAGATCTATGACAATGATTTTGTTCTTGTTTTTGTTTTACATAACTTATAATTGCTCATCTCTGATAGCTTCAGGAACAATTTTACAAGGAGCAACATCTCCTTTAATACCAGCAAGATGTTTCTTAAACCGGTTTATTCCTCATTTTGTATCGTTTTCACAAAAATTACATCTAATGTAATTTTCATCATTTGAATTCAGGTTGTATCCATACTTTCAACCCAGATCTCTACTCCAACTAGCTCCTAAAGAAGACATCTCAAAATGAAACAAGCAATCTAAAAAATGCACTTACTTTGGTTGCTCGAACTCCAATTTTTACGAAACACTTCGATGATTCAATCCAATGAAATATAGTTTTTTGGAGGTTTCTTTATCTGTAAAAGGGTTTCTTGTGGTTTATATTTCAAATGAACCTAAAACCCATCGTTCTAAAGTTTTATATCTTGAAAAACACGAGAAAAAAAAAAAAAAAAATCTCTTTCCCCGCTAGGCGGGCCGCAGGCCCTAGGCTGCCAGGGCGCTGTGCTCCTCCTAGAGACGAAAAAGATTTTTTTTTGTTTTTTGTTTTTATCAAGATATAAAACTTTAGAAAGATGGGTTTTAGGTCAATTTGAAACCTAAACCCACAAGAAACCCTTTTAGAGAGAAAGAAACCTCCAAAAAACTATATTTCATTGGATCGAATCATCGAAGTATTTCACAAAATTTGGAGTTCGAGCAACCAAAGTAAGTGCATTTTTTTTATTTGCTTATTTCATTTTGAGATGTCTTCTTTAAGTGCTAGTCGGAGTGGAGATCCGGGTTGGAAATATGGATACAACCCGAATCCAAATGGCAAAAATTGTGTTAGATGCAATTTTTGTAAAAAAGATACAAAAAGAAGCATACATAAAAAATACTCTTGAGAAAATCAAAGAAAAATGTGTGCAATTTTTGTATTTAAAAAAGGAAAATAATCATACGACTGTGGGCAAGTGTTTATCCTTGAGAAAATCAAGGACAACTTTAACTGTTTGTTTGAGTAAAAATATACCACCCTTGACTGGAGATATTAAATGAGTAGACATCTTTCCCCCAATAAGAAATAAAAAAGTTTGACAACTAAGCGACTCTTCGAAAAGGTGTTTTGAGAAGTACCAAGCGACTCTTCAAAAAGGTTTTTTGAGAAGTACCAAGAGGCTCTTCAAAAGGGTATTTCTGAGCATTGTCACAAAAAGTACACATAAGAAGTACCTAGCAGCCTACTGATTTGGAACTCTTAGTCTAGGACATAATGTTCAGAGCTCAACTCCAAAATTTACGAATCAAATGAGGAGACGTACTTTACAAAATACAAATCAGAAAGAGGACAAATGGTGCATAAAATGCGTAAAGACTTGCATTGTACTCCAAAGTGATCTACTGAAAACAATATTCCTTATCTAAATTGAAATAATGAACCTTCCGGATCTAAAGAAATAGTGATCTATTGAAAAAGATAAAGCAGCAGCAAAACACCTGTTCAGGTGTCCCACAAGGCAGCCAATATGGCCAATTGGGAAAATAGATCAATAAATTAAAGTTTTTGTGGAGTAAAAATCCAATAAAGTTCAAAAAAAGATGGGAACACTAGTTAATTTTTCCAAGTTCCAACAGAAAGTTTGACATATATAGGAAGTATAAACAACATCTCTTCCTACTTTCCATGAAAAGTTACAGACTTAAAAGATGTTTAGCAATTTCAAAGAAATGCCAAGGACCTTTAATGTCAAAAATATCAATAGGACTTTAGGATGGAACCAAGGTTGTAACGTTTAAAACATGAACACGTATTTAAGAAATGGATAGTGTTTCAAAGGGCAGTCAAGAAATGTTGATGCAGGTCACAGTATCAATATGTATCAATAGATGGCAAACACAAAAAACAGGGTCCAGGTTAAAACAGGTTAAAGGTGAAATAAAAAGAAGAAAAGAATAAAGTGATAAGTGAGCAACAATTGGAATTTTATTTTTACTCCCACATAATGGACCTAGAACCCAAATAAATTTTGTGCAGTATGAGCAAACTGAAATTTGACCTTACACTACCACAAACTCTCACTATTCCTTTTCTGCTGTGCAAGGATATAGACTATCACAATTAAGAAACTGAAATTGTAAATGAGCAGGAAAAACCCAAGATAACAAGAAAAAAATAAAGCAACGTCTGGAAAATTTAGATCTTCAAAGACAGTGGTAATCCCTTTTTATTGAATGGAAGTCCTTTTGTAATATGATTTCAAAATGGATGGTTACTATATTAATAAGAAGGTGACATTGTACATTTATTCGGCACATTGTATTCGATATAGATAAGGCCCTGTAGGATAATTCCACCATGGCCAGGCAAGCCGGTCATGCCGATCCCAAGACCGGTTAAAAGAGGAGGATTATGTTAGGTAGGGAAGCCAGCGTAAATCGTTGCCATATCTTTTTATGAAGGCGACCCCAAGTAGTTGGGATATGGCTCAAATGATGATGATGGAAGATAAGACACTGTCATCCTCTAAATGGAACTGAATCACACCAGAGCATGGCATACATTAGAATATGATGATAAACTAATGCATCATGAAGGCAGATCTATATGAAGTTACAGTTTAAGAAATACACACATTAAATTGCATACCAAGTGTACGATATGATGATAAACTAACCCATCATTAAGGCAGATCTGTATGAAATTACACTTAAGAAATGCACACATTAAATTGCATACCAAGTGAGGAGTTTGAGCGGGCACCCCACCCATCGTATTAAGAGAAAATTACATGGATCACCCTTCCACAAACTTCCCATACATAAATCCCTTGTATTTTTTTATTCAAATAATAGAACTTGTTACTATTCTCTTTTTGCATTGACCGCCCAATGTGAAGTTGTTAGGTAATTTTGGATGAAAATACCCCTATCAGTCAAACACAGAAAATAAAAAAATTAAAGATTAAAAATTAAAAATAAAAATAATTTAAGTTTAAGGCGGGTTCAACCCTTGGAGGACCTGACTGACCTCAGCTCCAAGAACTTTCCCCAAGGATGAATTGGCCTTAAACTTGAAATTTTATGTATTTGACTAAGTAGGTATTTTCATCCAAAATGACAAAAAAAAAAAGGTTTATGGTGTGGATAAAAACGTACCGGGGGTATCTATGTGTAGAAAATGCAAGGTGGGGAGTCTATGTAATTCTCTCGTTATCATCATCATCTATGCCATATCCCAACTATTTGGGACCTGCTATCAAAGGCCATACGCTCAGTCAGATCATAAGTCAACATATTTTTTCCCGCTACTTCCATCTATATCCTTTGGGGCCTCCCCTTGCCTAGAGTCTTTCACCTAAAATAAATCAACCTTCCTAATCGGTGTTGTTCTAGGTCAACATTGCACATGCCTAGACCAGCTATATCTACTTTCTCTCATTTTCTTGCCTAATGGAGCTAACCTTAAGCCCCCTCAAATGTATTATTTATGAATTTTATCTTACCTTCTCGTGCCACTCCTACATCTCAACATCCTGATCCCCAATCAATGTTTCATAAAACGCTAGGTGTACGGCCCGACGCCTGGAGACTAGGCATTCGGAGGGTGCCCTGAGGTGAAAAGTTTTAGAAAATCGTATTATTGTGTTGTTCAAAAGCACATATATGCAAATATTTGTGTTAATTTCGTATTTTTTGCATTTATGTGTATTCTAACTAACTTTTTTAAGAAACAACTAAACAAGAAAAGAACTAAACAAAAAAAGAACTAAAAATGACATCTCAAACAAGCTCCAATTCCTATCATAACCGGAAGAGCTAGTTATTAAACTCAAACCCAAATAGCAATCTTCTACATGTTTGGAGCACCACTCTCATGCTGGCTGCAATTTGGGTGCAATTTCCATAATTAATTTAACATTGTCATAATTAATTCATATATTACTTGGATCTGATTTGTCCTTCGTCTCACTGCGAACGACTTATACAAAATGAGTTCATTAAATCCATCCATGATTGTCTATTTTCTCCCTATATCTAGGTAAGTATAAAAGAACTTTGGTTCAAATAGTATCCAACTACATGCAAATGATCTATAAAGCTGCCTATCCCACTTTCATTTACAATATCCCAAATTGGGCCATACTTGGCCTCATTATATTGCCCAAATTCTCTGCCATCTCCTCCTTAGTTCCTTCTAGTGGATCATTTTAAGGCCCATAGAAGGCATGTCATCATCACTTCAGAGCACGACCTCGACCAAGGGTAGAAAAATTGCTAGTGAGTGCTTCATCCCAAACCATTCCAATCCTATGAAGTGAACATAGATCTCAATGGGATCCTCTTGCTATATATGCTCTTAAGACTCAGCCACTTAGGTAAGTAGTAGCAAACTGATGACCACAAGCCTCACTAGAAACTCCTTTTTGGTAAACTTGTATATAATGTTAAGGGTAATAGTGTGGCTGGATATGAACTTTTTGACCTCCTTAGCCTTCGAAAGTGTCCCTTTAATATTAGACAAGTCGTCAATGAATTATATGCTCCTCCCCAACCTCCTCAATGCCCTTATCAATTAAAGATAATATATAATACGCATATGAACCTCTGCAAAAGCATCAATGGAAGTCAAAGGACTATGGTAAAGGGACAATTCACCAATAGTTCATGATATTCCCCCTCGTATCACTTCATGCAGCAGTCATTATGGAAACTCATCTTCATGTAAACCCCAAAGTGAGCCACCCATCCTTAGTGTGTTCTACCTCTTTCTTCAATAGTGGCTCTGAAAACTTGTAAGGGGTTGGGCCATTCAACCCTGGCCCAAATTGGCCAATTGCGTCAACATCGTATAGAAGCCACTTAAACGAGCATTACTAAAAGAAATGTCAGCATGATAAAATGAACTAGCAATATACCAAATTACCTGACCTCAATTTTCCTTCTTATATCTCTTTTCTAGTGTCGCTTCTTCCCCTTACCCTTGCACTTTCTCAACCGCAGTCTTCGGGTTAGGTGTAAAAAAATAATAATCAAAGGGCATGCATCGGTCATTATGGAAACCCTGAACTAAGCCCACCCATCCTCATATAAACCCCAAAGTGAGCCACCCATCCTTAATGTGTTCTACCTCTTTTTCAATAGTGGCTTTGAAATCTCATAAGAAGTTGGGCCATTCAACCCTGGTCCAAATTGGCCAATTGCGTCAACATTGTATGGAAGCCACTTAAACGAGCATTATTAAAAGAAATGCCAGCATGATAAAACCAACGTACAATATACTAAATTACTCAGCCTCAATTTTCCTTCTTATATCTCTTTTCTAGTGTCGCTTCTTCCCCTTACCCTTTCACTTTCTCAACTGCAGTCTTCAGGTTAGGCGTAAATAAAAAATAAAAAATAAAAATAAATAAATAAATAAATAAATAAATCAAAGGGCCCTTTTATTCAAGGCCACTTAGAACTCTGAGATACTGCCACCTAGCCCACCTCCTCTCGCATTTCATCATCCTCATCACTGTTTTCATCATACAAAATATTAATGCCAGCCCTTCATTCTGGATTTCTTCTATATCCTTCTCCTCTATTAATCTTTTATTTTAGCTTTCCATGTAGTCAAAATTCTGGTTCTTTACAAGATCGGGAACTTTTCACATGGGGCAATATTTCCTCTAATACTGACAAGATGTTTCTTAAATTTATTTATCTCGGGATTCAAAAAAGTCCACAAAAATTGCACATTAGTTTGTGTAGTCCTTTTTATCTTGTTTAACATAATACTTCCATCCCTAATCCCAATTCCTATTAGACCGTAAGGAAGCTGTCTAAAATATGAAAAAATAAATCTCAAATATTGATTGTAAACCAACTTTTTGCCTTGTTCTTCAATGTTTTTATATCTTTTGAGCTATATAATTCACTGTTTGAACATATTTTGCAGCACCCCGATAGAAAAGTCAACAAAGCCTGATTATCAAGGGATAGTTTTGACAGTCCTTGGAGGCTCTAGGATGAGTTAAGATCTTCGTCAGGACACCATAAAGCCTCTTGCGAAGTTTCGTCGTATCTCGGCATGTCTAAGGCAGACGAAGAAACTGTTTCGGCAGAATCAACCTCTGACACCCTAAAACAGACCCCTATAACTGAAACTATACTTTCAGAGCGTCAAATAACTATGGGATTACCGCCATCTGATCCGACGCGGACGAAAACCCCTAGGGGTCAAATTTCAGCTCAAACCGACACTCCAGAAAGAAGTTATGGGCAGAACACTGAAGTAGATGAGGCCGCGCACTATTCCCATAAGGCCACCCTGCAACCAAGCTCCATTAAAACACAAGTCATAAACAATGACTTGAGATCCCCATATCTCCCTCATCCGAGGTCGGATCGCGCTCAAACTGGTTGGAGCATGTTCGTCTCGTCGAGAGGAACATTTTGATATGTGGCCATGGTGTTGCCCAAGCAGGTCGAAAAGCTAGAGAGAAGTTCATGATTCGAAGTTGAACCCTGCAGTTTTCCAGCAAAACCTCCGGTCACTCAAGCAGCCAAATCACAGTGCCCGAGAGCTCGATCAATGTGAGACCAATCCCCTCGCATGTGTAAGGACTGTGGTTATTACCAGTCTGAATGCCATGCGAGATGAATGGTCGGATTTCTCCCAAGGACCCGTCGAAGGTGCTGCTGATTCCGGCAATGAAATTCTTAATTCCAGCACCGGAATTCCTAATTCTGGCCAAAAGTTTGAAGTTGCCAAATCCTCATTCGAGCACCAAATCGAGTCCCGTTTGTTGCAGCGTGATCATGGTGAGATGTTCAGTGCAGTTCAGGGAAGAAGTCATAGAAAAATCTGAAGATGAAGATGCACAGTCGATCACAAGTTTTCAAGTTTTACTTAAATTTTCAAGTTCATGGTTATACTGATTAAGTGTGATTCATGGTTCAAGTTTGTTATCAAAATGATCGTGACATCAAGCCCTACGCAATGGCAGTCATCCTTCATTCATTCAGCAGCCGGATCATCCATGGATCGTTCGAGGAAGATCGAAGAACGTCCCAAGGTTCAGCAGGGGCAGTTTTAAAATTCTCCAAT